AGGGAGTTTTTCACCAACTGTGCTACATTATCTTTGTATGCTATAAATAAATCTCTCTAACATTTATATTTAACTTGTTGCAGGTGCAACCCCTTCCTAACACGTGAGTCCGCCTATGTCCGCCCCTAGAGGACTATTCCCAAAATAACACTTAAAAATAGTCCTAAGATGGACCAGGAAAAAGGCTGCGCCTTCATTGATGGCACAAGCTTTAGAGTTTTAGGAGATATGCATTAACTTATAAATGCACACATGATTTATAATAAATCACCAAAAACCTTTGGGTTGGTTTGGTTCAATAATTAAACAAAACCAATTTCTATGATTGGTTATAGTAACCAGGTTGTTACAATTCTCAACCACTTATTAGGAATTCGTCCTCAAATTCAATTCTTGTTATATCTGCTGGTTCAATCCTCAAAATTTATTTGTAGTTTATCTTCGTTTGAGTTTATGTCTTTCTCTTGTCCTTCGTAGATCTCAATTCGTTCCAAAACTTCAATTGATTGGCTAGCCACATTATTTTTTTACTAATGTCAATTGGTTGCTGATGCAAAATAAACTCAGCCACTCTAATAACTTTGCTCTGAACTAATAGGTGATACACTTATGGAACATCTTGACACTCTTCTGATAAACTCATTCTATAAGCCATTGTTTTAATTTACTCAACAATATAAAACGGTCCCATGTATCTCAGTTTAAGCTTCTACATTTTAGAGTCTTAGATCTTTCTTTAAATGTCTTTATTTTCAGGTATACTAGGTCGTCCACCTTAACTCCAATCTGCACAACTCCTTTGACAATTTTGGGCTTTCTTTACCCGACTCCTGAACAGTTATATTTTCTTTTTTGTCTCTTAGATTACTGCTGCTTATATGTCTAGTACTCCCCCACTTTGGTCAACATAGTGATGGGTGACATGGTTATCATAAAGTGCTTCTGTCACGTCTCAATACTCGAATGATAACTGTTATATAAGATGAATTCTACCAGCAGTAGGTATTTTTCACATTTTTCTTCCCAATCCAAAATACAAGTGTTGAGCATATCTTCTAGAATTTAACTTAGTGAGTCGGTCCATGATATCCCATCTGTCTTCAAATTTCAGTGATGAAAGTCATAATCACCATATCCCATTTCCAATCTGGGAAAGGTAATTGTTTGCTCCAGGCTATTTATCAAACAAATTAAAGTACTATTAGTTCAATAAGCCAATATTTTAAACTAAAATAAAATGACCAATTAAATTCAAACAAATAAAATCTAACTAGAATAGCCCGCAAGTTAGAAAAACTTATAATATATTTAGCATAAGAAATTAATTCATTATAATAAACAAGTAAATCTACCCAATATAAAAGGAAAATATTGGTAAAGTTCCAAAACATAGTACACACAAATCATAACAATTAAATAAAAAACTCACACCTCATTAAGATACCATTCAAATGATAACAGAACTTTTCTTTGGTTGAAAGATAAAAGAACATGAATTATCATATGGTTAGAGATAATTTAGCCAAAGTACAGCTATCAACCATTTCTGAATAAAAAGCACAACAGTAACTTCAACTGATACCAATGAGAAACTCCAAATAAGTATTCTACATTTTAGATTGAAAAAAAAATAGCACATGTTAATTAACATTATGTAAACAAATTAGTCGGCTAGATATACATCATACATAAAAAAATATAGGCAAAAAAATATTATAGGCTAACAAAAAAAATATACACAACACAATTAATTAATACATCAAAATATACACCAAAATACCACATAGATATGAGCGTATTGCAGAAACACTATTTTCAACTATTTATTAATTTTTTCAAGCCTTTGATTTCTAATAATAACAACAAAATTAAATAGATAAGATTAATATTATTTTAAGTTGAGAATAAACAAAATATTTTTACGAATATATTAACATTTAAAGTATTTTTAGTCGTTTTCACTTGTTTACCCTCCCATCGGGCAAAACACCTAATTACATATATAATACAATACAACTCACTGGATTTTTTTTGTATATCTTTAGTGAAAGATAAAGACTGTTACAAACACATTTCATTGAACATGCTATGAGGTTGTCTCTCATAAATATTTTATCTTGACAACGGTTTTTACAGTAGTTGCACAATGGTCAAGAAGTATTGCTTTTGCAAAAAAGTTATGATCTTGTACCCATGTAATTTATAGACTTGACCATGCTTCAGATATGGAGAATCACCAATAAGCATTCAACATGAACAGTGATGCAACATTCATCACACCAATAGATCACATTTGTGTTTGTACCTCTCAAATCACGTTCGCACACCTCACACCAACTTTTCTCACATATTTCTTTCCCGCACAAAACTCTGAGAAAGTGTTTGTCATGGTTATACCTTACTTTCGCCGGTAAGGTAGTGCATTTAATGCATATAAAAAAATCTCATATGATGCAGTTTAATTGCTTCTTACATTTTAGCTTGCATATGTGACATATGAGCTTTTCTTCTGGATTCAAAGCTAGATACAAGGAATGTTCATGACCGTGATAATCAACTGGTTAAGATATTGAAGCACATCGTATATCCAAATCGAAGTTGCATTCTTTTGAATGACACTCATAATTAAATCCACCGCATAAACGATCACAAGCATCGCAACGGTAACAACCAGCTTCATATAGACTCACAAGGCTCAATGTAAGAGAATGAGGATGCAACGCATGTTTCATGGAGGATGAAATCACACTTAATACAAGAATAGAAATTACCTTCAACCTATAGGTAGAACACACGCTTGACAAAACTTTTTTCGTCATAAAGCATGTTGACTTGGAGGCAGAGATGATGGTCTTGAAGGAAATGAAGTATCACTCCTTCAGATATCATAATGAATGGTATAACATCTGGTGTTATAGCATCTTCTTCTGGTACGCCTTGGAGATCTTTCACGTCCCACACATCTTCCCCTAGAGCACATATTGAGTGAACAAAGTAATCACAGCACTTATCACAAGTATATGCACCATAATTGGTCTCAATACTTTGGCGACAAACTCCGCAGAGCCATTCTCTCGTTCGGAGAGAAAAAAGTGTGGGAGATACGATGATGGTGACTTGATATTTTGATGATGCGTGGAAAATACATGCAATCTTTATGAGCTACAAAGTCACATTTGACACATATGCATGTAGTATAAAGTTTTCTCAACAAGCCACAAACGTTGCAAGTTAAATAAGATTGTCTGAAGAAAAAGGTGAGACGGCGATCACGCCTTTTTGGTTAGTCTATAACAAAGGGTATTGATTTGTTTGTTAACGTGACTTTGTTTCGTGATACTGTATTTGCATTTTTTTCTTAGTATTAAGTTAAAAGAATAAAATTTATATGTTATTTAAGTTGAAAATTTTAATTTTTTTTAATTTTTTGTTGGGAATGGAATTATCTTTTAAAAATATTTTCAAATTATCTGCCAGAGGAGAATATTTCAAAATATTAGTTTTTATTTACAAGAGGTACTTTATATTTATAAAAATTTAAATTAACTATAATTACTTTTAGTTCTTTCTATAGTTTCACAGAAATAATTATAGTTTATTTAATTTAATTTTTTAAAGACTATTATGTAAAGAAATTTGTGATCTATTTTTTTTAAATAAAAATTGTATTTTCAAAATCATATGTTTTAGTTATAGTTATAGCTATTAAAGTTTGAAAGTTAAAAGAACACTTGAAAATAAAAATTATGATTTAATAATAAAGAAATATTTTTTTATACGGAAATAGCAATCTCTAATTTAAAATAAAAAATATAAATCGACTATGAGAGCACCAACAGAGAGAGTTAGAGAGAGAAAACAGATCTCACCTTGGGTCCGGCGATCGGTCGGCGCGTGAGCGTGCGTGCCGTCGCCGGAGCCCTCCGTTTCTTTTTTAAAATTGGTTTTCCTTAATCTCTTCGTCGTCTCCTCTGCTCTTCCGCCTTGTCCGAGCTCTGGCTAGTCTCCTTCCGCGATGGCTATGTTCTGGAGGGAAGACGCGGTCGTGTGGAGGCTATGGTGCGGTGAAGTAGATCGTCTTGTTAGGCTTTTCCGGGAGGTGGAGGCTTGGTCAGCTCCGCCGCCGCCGGTCCTTGTCCCGCGAGGTGGAAGCTCTTTCAGTTCTGCCGTAGTCGGTTTAGTTTCTGGGAAGCGGTGGCTTTCTTAGCACCGTTATCGCCAACTTAAGTTTTCGGGAGGCGGTGGCTCCTACAGCACCGCTATCGTCGGCTTTTGTTCCTGGGAAACGATAGTTTCTCTAATATTGCCATCGTCGGTTCTTTTTTCGGTTTGTTCATGTCTCTCGATCTATGAGTTTGTGCTTCTTATGCTACTCTGCCTCTCGATCTATCATCTGTTACCGCATGCGTTTGTCGGAGATGACGGATTGATTGAGAGCGTTTAATTCTCTAGTGATTTCGTAGATCTGTGTGGTGTTTGTGTGATGGTTGGTGGATCTGTCAGCTGGGGATTCGATGAGATCTCGGGGTTTGCGATGATGCTCTCCGATGGAAGGTCTCCGGCGACGATGAAAGTGTCGAGTTGTTTCTCGATGGGAGAGATTCCGGCGGCGCGGGTCTTGGCGTGTTGTGTGCATGAGTTTGCTAGGGTTTTCTGGTTTTGGGCTTGTAGGCCCAGTAACTTCATGTTTAATCTGGCCGTTTGTTTGGACCTTCTTTTTTGTGGTTGTACTAAACTATGTTTGATCTTTGGGCTTGGCCCTTCAATTAAATTTAGATGGAAAAAAAAAATATAAATTGACTATATAACTCAGCCGCAATCATAAGAAGAAGAAGAAAAAAAACTCTCTGATCAGGAACACAGATTCAAAGGCACTCGAATCTACCAAGCAGAGATTCTCCCAGGGCGAAGAAGACCCCTCCAATGTTGAAGAAGAAGATCATCTCTCCCAAGGCAAAGAAGACAACCGGTCAAAGAGGCTATGACCCCCATCTTCTGGGATGCCGAGGATTTCCCCTTCCCTCCCTGTTCCACTCCTGATGAGATCTACCACTCCATCACATCAGCTCTTTTGGAAAGGGAGTTTAGTTACAAGGTTACAATCTGGGCCTATCTTGATGATGAAAAGAAAGGTGGTTCTTGGAGAGATGCCTTACTGGGTGACAAGACTTGGGCCTCCAGAATCTACTTTCTTCCCTCAGGAGATAAAGACTCGCGACGTATTAGAATGGAAAATGACATTCTTTTTTGGGCATGGGAATCTCCTTGTAAACCATTTCAAGATAGTCTCTGATCAATTCAGAGGTGACCCCTACTACGTCGAGCTGCTTTACAATTTGCTATTCGCAGGTTTGGATATTTTCTTCCTGACTCCGACTCAGGACATCAATAAACCAGAAAGCTCTGAATGGCCAGGATTGCTAATAGATGAATGAGCATACTGTTTGCTGATTGAAACAATCGAAATCCCTGATGAACCTTGTCCCAAAAAGCGTAAAGCCGATACAGGATTGCTGGTGGATGGAAGAGCATGCTGCCCTTTTGGTGATGAAACAAGCCAAAGCTCTGAGGGGTCTGGACTAGCTGGCTTATGTTCGTAGGCTCCTTATCGTTTCTACGATGTTTACCTATTTGATGGTTTGTGTGTGACTCCCTCCCTTTTTTAATGAATGAATGATGTTTTAAGAAAAAAAAAAGATTGACTATAACTTATTTTTCTCTATTATAGCATTTAGAAATGAAAATAACAATTGATAGAAAATGTTCTTTTCTACATTGCATATAAAAGTTTTGTTTGTAACATGGTTGGTCAGCTGACCCACTAATTTAAAAAAATATATATTTTTGTTTTAAGTAAAATGTATATTGATCCCACTGAAAAAATTCATTTTACCCCACAAAAATAATTTCTAAACATTAAATATAAAATTTAATTATAAAACTAAAAATATTATACTTTTTATCATTAATTTTTTTGGATTTATATCAGTTTAAAACATTCATTACCCTATAATTACCAACAATATAAAATCACTAAACACATTTTGTTAGTTTAAACTTAAGTAATATGCTAGTTTAAGTCCAAATTGTACTAGGCCCAATTAATTTATATTATAGAAACTTTAAAAAAGTTCCTTTGGATATTTTTTTTTAGTTTATTTTCACAAAATAACACTTAAGGAGGAAACTAACTAAAATAAATTTTTATTAAAGCGTAAATATGCATGTACACCCTTGGGTTAGCTAATTTATACTTAGAATTTAGAGTTAAAAGGTGGAATTTTGGGTTTACGGTTTCAAATTTTTAAACATAAAAAAAATATGACAAATTTCAAAATAAAAAGGAAATATTTTGGTCATTTTATTGTTTGAGGGCTATTTTTGGTGATAAAAAAACTTAAAAAGGCGATTCGATAGAATTACCCTTCAAAAGATAAGTAAACATACAAAAGAAAAATTATGTTTCTCTTCCTAGGATATGATTCGTTAAAATCCCAACTCATACTAGACAATTAATTTGTAGTTAAAATTTAGGTTGGTTTTCTATATATTTTTAGCTAGTAAAGCTGTTATAAACTTGCGTAGAGTGGAAATGATATAGTCTTATGGTTAGGATTGGAAAAAATTTAGAGATAGAGATGAGCTCAATTTTTCATTGTTGCTTTGTATTTTTCTTAAAAACTCGGAAAATAAAAAACATTAAATAAAAAGGCAAGTACAAACATGTTTTTTTGTTTGAATATATTCTTACATTCATAAAAAAAAAGTACGCATGGAGCTAGGTTGTATGCAAACTTCGATTGAAGTCCGTTTCCTGTTTCGGAATATGAATCTCTTGGAAGTACATTTCTTTGAAATTTCATTTTGGAAACATGATGGAAACTTGTATTTTTTTTTTTTGGAAAATCGCGATTCTAATTTGGAAACGCGAAAGAATAACTATTTGTCATTTTATGTTAGTGATTACAGGTTAATTTATATTTTAATATTATTGTTCGATAATTTTTGTCATTTTGGTATAATAACTTAATGTGGTCTGAAGTCGGCTCTGTAGTTTTATAGAATGACAATATGTGTTAATTTCTAATTATTGATTAGATTTTTTATAAAATGTACCCAAAAAAAATTATTACTTGATTTTTTCTCTTAGATAAATGAAACAAAAAAATAAATTAAGCTTACATGTTAACTAATCAAATATATATGTGTATATATATTATATATATAGATATATGTTACACCATATCCAATGTATTTTCCTATTTTTACCTCTAAAATAGAGGAACTCTATAATAGAGATGAGTTTTGCTCCAATGTATTTCTCTAAAAAAAATCTTCACATATAAAGTAAAGTATAGAGTAAAATAGAGATGGGTTGGAGTAATTTTACCTCTAAATGCTATCATAGAGGCAAATATAGGAGAGAGTTGGAGATGCTCTTATACACGTTTCTAAAACGTTTCCATTTTTATTTTTTGAAAATCATGTTTCCACGTATTCGTTTCCGATTCCATGCAATCTAGACCTAGAGTACTTTTTTTTTTCTTTGAAACACATCTAGACTTAGAGTACATTTGTATTTTTTCTGGTTAATTATGTTTTGATTTTTTTTTCCATCCTAGTATAAAAAAATTCTGGCTCCACCACTGATTGGTCAGTTTGAGTGTTTATTCAGTTATCATGGAAAATATTTCATAATATAATCATACACATATGAATTTGCTTATTTACTTTAATTAATAGAATATGTAAAGTTTAGTTGGGTTTAACATTCTTGTATTTTGATTTATTTTAAGATTTAACATATGTTTAAACAAAAAAATATTAATGCTGTTATCCAAAATTTTAAATAAACAAAATTAAAGATTAAGAAATTGAAATATTAATAAAATGGTATTAATTTAAAGTTTTATATCAACTTTTTGATTTTTAAATTAATATCTATAAAACATTTATTCCCACATATGCAGATAAAACACCTAGTATATTAATAAATCTTTAATTATTCATTAAGATTTAAGAGTAATAATTAACCATTAGTCAAAATCATAAAAATATGAAAAATAAAGCAAAACTACTTAAAATATAGAGAACATGACAACTAAGCAAACCAATTATATACTAACAAATTAAATTTTTCATTAACAAATTTATAACATAATAGAAATTATTTTTAGTTAATGCTAGTTAAAGTCAATGAAATACTTTTGAATTCATATCCTATTATATATTAATTTGTGTTTAGTTTATGGTTAATTAAGATAAATTATTTTTAGATAATGATAACCATCCAATCAAGGAATTTTTTTTAATTAAGGTTAATTATATATAAATTAGTTTTTAATTTCTAGAAAAATATTTATTAATAAATCTAATCTATATTATTAAAAGAGAAGTACCAATAAGAAAAAACCCTTAATTTTATCAGTTATTTACAATAGAATGCCATTGAGATATATATTGAACCTATATTTAAGCATGCTTGTCTTTTCCTAATTTAAATAATAGATTTAAATATTTAATATATTTTCATAGTTTAAATAATAGGTTTCCTTAGTCAAATATTAACCAAAATAAATATCCTAATATATTTGGTATTAACATATTAAATATTTTAATATTTATTAGTAAGAGATAATATGTTATTTTTCTTTAAGATATTATAGAATTTATAGTTCTACTTATGTTTATATATTTTAAGTAGTTANTAGTTTAAATAATAGGTTTCCTTAGTCAAATATTAACCAAAATAAATATCCTAATATATTTGGTATTAACATATTAAATATTTTAATATTTATTAGTAAGAGATAATATGTTATTTTTCTTTAAGATATTATAGAATTTATAGTTCTACTTATGTTTATATATTTTAAGTAGTTATAATTTTTTTTAAGGGATGATAAGATTTTGGAATTGGAAAAAATTATGACCCACCTCTATATTATTTTAATTAAGAAATTTAAAATTAATATCAGAATATTTTATTAAATTTTTAATTTGAATTATTATAACTGTAAAGATTAATTTTCAATCAAACTTTATGTTTAAGTATTATAAATATATCATTTAATATAAACAAAAACATAAAATAAATACCCGGCCGGTCGGGCGGGTCAAGGTCTAGTTATCCATTAAGAGTTATAATTATCATTAGTCAAAATCATAAAAATAAGAAATATAATAAATCTACCTAAAATTATGGAGAACTTACCAACTAACCAAATTTACTTATAATTAATCAATTAGCTAATGTAAAATATAATCTAATATTATTAATTATGAAATTTGTTTTTAATTATATAATAAGCAAAATTAGAGAAGTTGACAAATAAACTAATTTATTTTTTCTAATAATAGTATAGATAGATAGATTCATGAAATATACTGTCTATATTACTTCATAAGAAAAATACATAAAATTCTCTAATTTTTATTTTTCAAAATATCGAAATAAATATTGTTCCATTGCATTATCATTCTGAAACGGAACGGAGAGATAACAAAAGCTAATATACCATAATTTTGTTGGTGCGTTGATTAGTGAATCAGCCATCTTATCCAAGATCAAAGGAAATAGAAGATTTGTCGAAGATGTCATGCCCAAGACCATGTAAGAGATCTCCATCTGCTTTACTATATCTTCTGTTGCATGTGATTTGATTATGTTGTGTTTTCTTTTGTATTCTGCGTTTTTAATTTCTAGGGTTTACGGTAGAGTAATCTCTGAGATGAAAGAAACTTGATGATTCATCTGTTATCTTATTTCTCCATAAATTTTGGTTACAATAGCTGAAAGTTAGAGTTTTTTTGGTCTGAAATTTCGTTAGATGATGTAAAATTGTCACCTATCTACTGCTAAGTTCTTGTAGATTCTTCAATTGTTTTCAGCGAATTAATTCAATCAACAAGTAATGGGTTTTTTTCATCAGTGTTCACTACAGGTTTTGAAGTGTTCTGGAGCAGTAATGACAAAAAGGAACGAATATCTGACATAGATAATTCAGTTGATGAGAGGATTTTGAAGAAGAAAGCCATTAATGCATCTACCAAGTTCAAGCACTCTCTCAGCAACAAGAGCGCAAGAACAAAAAGTGATTCTGTCTACATCGAGGATGTCAGAGATGTCGAGGAGCTTCAGGCCGTTGATGCCTTTCGACATGCATTGCTAACCGACAAGCTGCTTCCCACTAGACACGATGACTATCACATGATGTTGAGGTTCTTGAAAGCCAGGAACTTTGACATGGAGAAAGCAAAACTCATGTGGGCTGATATGATTCAATGGAGAAAAGAGTTTGGCACTGACACTATTCTTCAGGTACTCTACTTTAAATAGAAGATTGTGTTATGTTTTTAAAAAACTTTTTTGAAATCTCTCAACAGGATTTTGATTTCGAAGAGATTAATGAAGTTCTGGAGTACTATCCACACGGTTATCACGGTGTTGATAAAGAAGGCAGACCCATTTACATTGAAAGGCTGGGGAAAGTTAATCGTTACGGACTCATGCAAGTTACAAGCATGGATCGATATGTAAAATATCATGTAAAGGAGTTTGAGAGGAGCTTTATGATCAAGTTTCCTTCCTGCACAATTGCTTCTAAGATGCATATTGACTCCAACACAACTATTCTAGATGTTCAGGGACTGGTATAATTTCCTACAAACTCTCAATGGGGTTGTGAAATGAGTTTCTCATGCTTCATATAATTATTATTTTTTCAGGGATTGAAAAACTTTACCAAGTCTGCTCGGGAGCTTATCACAAGATTACAAAAAATCGGTGGGGATAATTATCCTGAGGTACTTTTTTAATTGGAACTTCTAATACTTGTTCCTCTCTGTGTATGCAGTTATTGAAAGATTCTTTTATCATATATATATGCTAACCTCGGCCGTGTGTCACTGTTGATTCATGCAGACTCTCCACCAAATGTTTATTGTGAATGCGGGGCCTGCATTCAGACATCTTTGGATGGCTGTGAAGGGCTTTATAGACCCAGAAACATCTTCCAAAATTCATGTAAGATCATCTTAATTATCTGGCTATGTCTTCAGTTATATAAAATTCACTTTGGTCCATTGTGTTGTAGGTCCTTGGAAACAACTATACGACCAAATTGCTTGAAGTTATTGATGCCGAGTATGTGAATCCTATACTTCTGGATTTTTCTTTTGAGTATTACACGGAAGCTGTTCTGTTTTATACTTATGTCCTAAACCCATCTGCATTTATTAAAGCGAGTTGCCTGAGTTCTTGGGAGGTACATGTACTTGCGCGGATCAAGGTGGTTGTATGCTATCTGACAAAGGACCATGGAAAACCCCGGAAATTTTGAAGGTCATTTAATTGACTTTTTTCTTTTTTACCTATTACATTGTACCAGTTCTGAAACTGACACAACTGGTTATCTTCACTATTTTTCAGATGGTGCATCATGGGGAAGCAAGTCGGGTGAAGCAAGTGGTGGAAGTTTTAAACAGGGAGGGGAATGTCACTGCTTATCCATGGGTATGTAGTTATTGAATCCTGTAACTAGTCAATCTTTAACTTGAAGCTGAGTGCCAAAACTCTGACATTGTCATAAACACAGATAAATGGAAGTGACACTTCCACTGCAGAGTCCGGATCTGATGCCGAGGTATTTTTTGTCTGTTTATCTATAACATTTCAGATTCAGTATTGTTCAGATGTTTATCTATGGATGTTATTGGATTCCATGCAAAAGAAAAATGTATGTTTATAGTATACAATCCTCAAACTTTGCAGGCAAAGAGAGTGGATGAAACGATCCCGGGGCTATGATGGCTATGTACCCAGTGGCAGAGCTATGTAGTGGGGAGGGGACAGCTGACCCTCTGTGACTTCTATAAAAAATGAAGAAAATAATTTCAATTATGTAAGTTAGGTAGTTGTTTGGAATATTTAGTTTAAGACTTATATATTATTTGTGAATTGATTATGGCAAAATATGACATGGTTTATGACAAAATATGACATAGATAATTATATTGATGTTGATTTATATTTAAGTAAACTTTTTAAATATGATAATAACGCATATTTTACATTTAATGTTGATATTTATTTATGGTAAAAAAATAAAATATGATAATAACTCATACTTAATCTTTAAAATAAATATATTGAAATATAACATTACAAATTTCAAAATATTATTCTGTTTTATTTTTATATTATACGATTTGTATTACTAAAGTTTTCAAAAATTGATACAATTTCTTCAAATATAAATTTTTAATCTTAAAATCATTAGTTTCTTAAATATCTACAAATTTTGTAAATACTGTTTAGTTTAAATCTTTGATCATTATATAATTTTATATCATTTTTATTAATTTTATATACATTAACTCAATTTATTTAAGCAATATAAATAGATAGAAAAATCTATCTAAGATTATAATTTTAAATATATACATATATATTCTTAAATATAATTTTAAATAAACAAAATTATTTTATCTTAATTTAATGTTTAACTAAATCAAATCTCTATTTAAATATTGGTAAGAAAATAATAAAATATATAATATTAATCAAATTTATTATTTAATATAATTTAAGCTTAAAACTTTTTTCACACACCTAGTTTAGATTGAATCCCCATATTTCTAAGATCAAATCTCTCCCTTGACCCACCTTTAATATTTCAGTCTGATTTGTTTTGGTCAAAACCATTGTGTTTGGAGCTCTACCAAAGACACTTCGTCTAATTAGCGATCTACCAAACCCCCTAAAAGACATTATTGTTCAATTTGTTGTTTACAATGATATCATTTCTACACAAAAATCTCTACTGCCCGAAAACTTTAGGGTAGACAAAATCTCTTTCCTAGATACGCAATATCTAACCATAGAGAAGATAGATACATAATATTTTCCATATCTGCTTTTGTCAGAGATTTTTAGTTAACATTTCAATGAAACAATTTCAATGGAAGAACTATTTGAAATTCAGATCTAAAAAATTGTCTCAGTAATTTGGTTTCACCGATTTGTCTCCAAAATTCACCTATTTCCAAAACCAAAATACTTCAATTTCATGGAAGAGAACGAAGGATTGCAAAGGCCCATGTCAACTACCGAAGAGGATATTTGCCGTCGGAGAAGAACCCACCGGCTAATAATCACTGTTAACCTTCACAAAATTGTCAATAATTTTGATTTAGCCGGTTACTGATTTAGGTGACCAGCTACTATTGAAATTAGACGACTAATTGGATTCCCTCCTTCACCCGATACCGATGGCTAATGTTTGAAATTTTGTTTTAGCCAGTTATTGATATAGGTGACCAGCCACTATTCTAATTAGACAGTCAATTGTGTTATCTCCTTCACCCGATATCGATGGTTATTGTTTGAAATTTTGTTTTACCCGGTTATTGATATAGGTGACCAGCAACTATTGTAACTAGACGATCAATTGGGTTCTCTTTGATGGGTAATGTTTAAAATTTTATTTTAGCCGGTAATTGATAAATGTGAGCAGTCACTATTGTAATTAGACGGTTTTGATCAAGAATAACTTCCGAACTGGATTTAGTTGCTCCCAATTTGTGTAAAGATATTGAACTTTTTAAATTAATCAAAAACAAAATAAATATCTGAGCAAAATCTTTCAAAGATTTGTTTACAGATTTTGGGTCAGAGATTTCTTTAAGCTACAGGTTAATTGAAGTTACCAATGCAATTCTATCTAGTGTAAACGCAATCTACTTGTTATCTTTCATAATCTCCTAAAGATAACAATCTTTGTGTCAGAGAAGTTCTACAGTTCCTACTTTCGGGAAGCGTAGTTGTTATCCGGGTAGGTTAGACTCGTCATTTTCACATCAACTGTTTCAACGCGTGTCTCCCACTTTTTTCATTTTTGGTATTCAGCTAATTTCACCTTCTTTCTTTGTTTTTTGGCTAATTAGCTCTTTTTTTCTTTTCTTCTTTTTGTTTGATATTTTAGAGATTTTTGTTATTAAATGAGGTCACATTGATGGTCAAGAAATGTGGAGACATACAAATTTCCAGAAGATACATATTCATTATTGTTTCGAATCTAGCAAAAAAAAAATCAATTTCCAGAAGATACAAATTCATTATTGTTATGAATCTAGCAATTATTTTCCGTGTTATCAAGCTCCAAAATTGCATAAGTTTTCTCTTCGCTTGCAGTTCACCTATTGTTGCAGAAACACCGAGTTTAGTTGTCTACGACATTGTTGAACTATGGGTATATATTAACAATATATATTTTTATACATAAGAATATAACATTTTTTTAGTACCTTACAAATTAGGTGTGAAGGAATGATAAATAGAAAACAAACATAAGCTTTCAGTTTTTTTTTTTCACGAGACAAACAACAAAAACAATTACAGAAAGCATATCTCTCCACATTTTAATCCTTAATACTCTTCACGAGTATATTTATGTTTATATAAATATATATATGGTTTTTAAAAATATATTTTCCAGATTTTTCATAGTCTCGACGCATCATCAAGTCTTTCAGAATCCAAAGAACTGAAAAAAAAAACAAATGAAAACAATATACAATCAAAATTAAGCAAGTCTTCAATAAACCTTCAAGAAGAGTGTTTTGAAATGTGTACCTTCTTCTTCTTTTTCTTCTTCTCGATGTAAGCCACTATCTCTAGCTGCTTAGCCATGGCTTCGTCCAACGTCTAATATTTTCAAACAAACAAATAAGTTACTTAATGGCTACATTACATCATACGTGTTCTACACGTTACTTAAACAATAACGTCTAGACTGGTTGGTTAGTTTACCTTCTTGGTCTCAGACAACTGAAACTCAAGCTGGTCGACGCGGGTTAGAGCGGCGTTGAGAATCTGTTCTTTCTCCGCGGAGAATGGCGCCGGCTGATTGTCCAACGTCCTACATTTCTCCTCCAACTCAGCCATTCTCTTCACCATTGACATGTACTCTTGGCTCGACACCATCGCCGTCTCTCCTTTATCAGCTGCGCCTCCGTAAATGGCTGCCTCAGTGAGCTTCCTTGGCATGTTCTTGGTTAGCCTCACCACCGTCATTAACCCCATAACCAACGACATCACGCCGCCAAATAAATATCCTTCTCCTCCTTTCGTCTCCGACGGCTTCACGGCTGAGTATAAATCTGCTCCGGCAAAAAAAAGACACAAGTAATGACTATAATAGCAGAGTAGTGACAATAACATCATCAATGTTTTTGTGTAATGTAACCTTCAGGCTCGGTAAAAGTTGTCTTGTGGGGACTTGTAGGCCAAGTAGAAGCATCCACAGTTTTGTCAACAATTGGTGTGAATTTCTCATTCTCTGCATTGGATGTGTTCTTCTGCAAATTGGATATTTAAACTAATAAAACAGAGGTTCTTAGAGGGATAATGACTTTATAGACGGAGAAAGAAACTTACCTCAACGGTTTCACATTTCTTCAATGTGTTGTTTCAAGTAAACAAATAAAAAAAGAAGAGACAAAGCTTTAGATTTTTATTATGAGCCTGAAAGATCATGAACATATTAGGTTTTGTGTGTTTACCTCTGTTGTGCTCTCATACACAGAGATTGTCTTCTCTTCAATGTTTGACAATGTCTTCCTTGGACACCTTCCTTCTCCATTTTGAACCATCTGTATAGGTAGTTAAGAATTCTACTCTTCAGTAATTGTTATGGGGGTTTGTGTGCCAAGATTTTCTATATTGTCTTAAAAGTACCTTGAAGATGTCAGGGTCGTTCCATGGACCTTTGTCTGAACGCATGCATCCACCTTTGTCTGCACAAGTGCAGCTACCACCCAAGAACTCAGGAAGTTCACTAAACACACACAAAAGAAAAAAGCAAAGGTTTAATATTATGAATCTTTGGTTACAAGGCAAAGTTATTGAGGTCTTTTTATCTGTCTTACTTGGAGTCAATAATCTCAAGCAGTTTGCTTTGGTATTTGCTGCCAAGAACCTGTACATGAAGTAAGCCCGACGGTTAAAGAGTTAAGATCTCTGGAGTGTTAAAAAGGAGAAAAAATAAGCTTACGTGAATCTTAGCAGTGGTCTTTGGGTCAAGGAAAGATTTGACAGTGCTCCACAGAAGCCTGAAGCCAGAACCAGCGTTGATAATGAACATACGGTTCAATGACTATATATGTTCCATAACACAGAAAAATACACAATCTCAGTACTATTGTCCTTGAGTTAATAGCCATAACAAAACTAGGTTTAAACCATCATAGTTACCTCAGGGTAGTTGTCACTATCAATCTTTTGGATACGCTGAAGAAGATCCCTTGCAGCCTTGCTGAAGTTCTTCAATCCCTACAAATAAATCCAAAAATTACAAGCAAGATCACTCGCTATATATTTTTTTTCTTTTTGGAGTTTAAATACAGAAATAAATATGGTAGAGACTAAAAAAGCATACCACGCCTTGCACATCCAAGATGGTGGTGCTCTGATCAATGTGCTTCTTAGCAGCAATGGAGCAAGCTGGTAGCTTGATATTGAAAGCCTTCTCAAACTCCCTCACATGGTAACTCACGTACCTATCGATGGTAGTGACTTGCATCAGTTTTGTGGCATCAACTTGGCCTAGCCTCTCTATGTAAATAGGCCTCCCATCTTTGTCAACACCATGGTAACCTTGAGGATAGTACTTGATGACTTCGTCTATTTCCTTGAAATCAAAGTCCTTTTGAAACAAGAAAGAAGAAGATATAATTTAATTTATTTAAAATGAAGATATTCAAAAAATGATTTGGTTATGTTTTTTTTTTTTAAAAACCTCCATGATA